CACAGACAGAAAACAGCCCTTTAAACCTTGTCTGAGACCAGCAGGGCTCTCTGTTCTGTGTCCCTCTCCATGGAACTGTGGATCTAAAATGGCTATGAACTGGTCAGCTGACCTGTCGTGTGTGTGTGTGTGTGTGTCTGTGTGTGTGTCTGTGTGTGTGTGTCTGTGTGTGTGTGTCTGTGTGTGTGTGTCTGTGTCCGTCGTCCCCCCCCCCCCCCCCCCCCCGTGGCTCTCAAGCTTGACAGAAATCTGTAAGACCTACTAAAAGAATTCTGAGACAGCCTCCTTCCATCTGTGTCCCTGTCGCCCTGGAAACCAAAGGCCAAGCTTAGTCAGCATTTTTCTATACAAGCTGTATTCTTCTACCCCACCCCCAACCACCCCCAAGTTCCAATTAAAGAGAGAATAGAGGTAAAACAGTATGGAATTTGCTTGGAAATAGTAACAATCTCTCAACAGTAGGCCCTGACAAGTTCAATTCTGTTGCTTCAGCAAACAATGCTAAATTTAGGAACCACATTTGAGGAAATTTTCCCATGGGGGGGTGATACATGGGGATTAAACCTAAAGTCATGCATGACAGGCAAATTATCTACCATTATGCTAAATTCTGCATTTCTTTAAAGAATGTTTATCATGTATGGATGTATGTATGAATGTATGTGTGTGTGGTGTGCGTGCATCCCACCTAGGAATGCACGCACACCCCACACAGAGCACAGGCATGGAAATCAGAGAACTTGTGGTAGATGGTTCTCTTTCTGCCTTATGATTTCTGGAAATTAAAGTCAACTGGCAGCCTTGGTCGCAAGTGCCTTTCCTCTCTCAGTCATTGCACAGGTCCTTCTTTCTTATTTTCTTATTTTGAGACAGTTTCTCATTTAATTAATCAAGGCTGGCTTTGAACTCGGTTGGTAGCCCACCCTTGCCTAAACTCTCAAATCTCCTGTCTTCGCCTCCTAAGTAGTTAGAATTAGAGGTTTGCTCTCCTAGGTAAGATGTCTAAATCTGTGGAGACTCTGCCATTTTGAATTGGATTCAGTAGTTGCTGAACAGCTTGTTGGCCAAGAGGAGTGGTCAATGGAAAGAGATAAAGGAATATATCACATTATCATCACTGAAAGTAAATTTGTCTGCACTCAATGACAATAATAAAATTTAAAGAGGTAACCACTAGGACCCCAAGGAGGTAATGGTGTTATTTTACCCCTTGACTCACAACTTAGATTAGAACTAAATATTCTGTCTCCTCTGCTACCGCAGAAGCTGTACAAAAACAGCCATGTCCCATTTGTCTTTCTATTACTTTCCAATTCCAGAAGTGTTGGCTAAGAGAATCAAAGAAGAGACAAAGAAAAAAAAAAGGGGGGGAAATAGCTTCCACCCTGAACCAATGGAAACTCACTTTAGAATCCCAAATCTATTTTGTTAACGCCCTGAGTGACTGACGTTAGCGCCAATAAGCTAACATAGGACAACACAGGGACAGTTGTCAGAGTAAAGGCCAGATGGTCATGCGGCAATGGTTAAGCAGTAGCTTCCCCACAGGGCAACATCAAACTGCAGGTATACAGTAATAAAGAATAGGAGGAGGAGGAAGAGAAATGCACAAAGCCCAAGAAGACAGGCTCCTGTACACAGAGATCTGCAGGCAGGAGACAGAGGCAGTGAGCAAGGAATGTCCAGGCAGCTGCTGGTGACTGAGGCAGAACAAATCACTGGGATTTATAGAAACCCCACAAATCTCATCAGGAAAAACTAGTCTTCCACACTACAAATTCCTATTTGGTACTGGAAAGTAGCTTAACAGGTGGCCCAAAGACCTCATCTGCTTCGAGTCTTTTCCTGCCTCTACTCTGGCTAAGGCACAAACAACAAAGTGGAAAATCACCAGAAGTAAAAAAGCCTACCAGGGATGGGGAGTGTGGCTCAGTAGGCAAGGGTGCATGCTGAGCAAGGCTGAGCACCGTGGTCAATTGCCAGATCCCACAGTGGAAGGAGAGAACTGAGCCCTGAAGAGGGCACTTGAGTGCTACATGTGAGCACATACACACTAACAATAAAAGCCTGCCAATGGGCTGGAGTAATAACTTAGCAAGCAAGAGGGTGCAGGTTCAGGTCCCAGCACCCACCTGGTGGTTCACAATCATCCTTAACTCCTGTTCAGGGAATCCAATGACCTCTACTGACTTCTCAAGGAACTAGGCATACCTATGGTGCACATGCATAAATGCATGCAAAATATTCACACATGTAAGATAAGATACATTACTTTTTTTTAAAAAAAAATGAAGGCCATCAAGATGATATTCAAGATATTCTGGAAATGACCACAGAAAACACTCCCACACCATCCATTATCATGTGGCCTAATACCTATGACTGGAGACCATGATTCTTCTGAAGTGGGGGGGTGCACAGGGGGAACCAAACTCCCATGATTATTAAATCTATTCAGACATTTTTTCCAATATACTCCAGTAACAAAATTAACAAGACATCAAAGCCATCCATCCTATCCCCTAACTAGACACACAAACACCCACTCGCAGTCAAAGCTGAACAAAAGTTGCCAGGCTATTAGGCTTGCTGGACCCTGTGGAGGACTGCATACTGTGCTGGCCTAAAATGTACCAAGTTCCCCAGCTGCCAGGGATCAGCACTCTGAAGAAACTATGCTGGCATTTCTGTAATATGAACCATCAAAACTATCTGTAGCTCAAAGGCACCTACAGTGAGCATAAAGGAAACAATCCCGGGCACTTTTCCCCACCCCTTTCCAGAAATTCTTTCTGTGGGAAAGAAGAAGATGGGATGAAAGAAAGAGTTATCTATGAGGAAGAAACAGAAACAAATTATTCCTAGCAGGATTAATACACATTAAAAACAAAACACACCACGTGAGATCATTTAAATACAAAACTGAGGAAAATTTATAAATAAGATTATAATACTGTGTAATTCACATTATACTTCCACATAAGAAACTTATCAATTCCAAATAGAAATATCCCAGGCAGTAGTGGCGGTGCTCGCCTTTAATCTCAGCACTTGGGAGGCAGGGGCAGGCAGATCTCTGTAAACTTGAGACCAACTTTGTCTACAGAGGGAGTTCTAGGACAGTCAGAGCTACACAGAAACCCTGCCTTGAAAGAAAAAACAAACAAGCTAAATAGAAATATCCAAAACTGGAAGAAGACAACAATAAGATTATTTCCTGCCAGGAAGCACCACCATGATGCAGTCAAGAAAGTACAAATTTAGATTCTAAGAGTAAAAGCCACAATCATGGTTTCCTAACCACTGTCTCCCTTAACTTAATATTCACTCCTTTTGTTTTTCACACGCTACACCTGAGATGTATTTGATGATCAATACATTATCATTGATAGAAGAGGACATACAGATTTTAAAATAACAGCTGTAACTTGGTAAAGTATTTACCCACCCATACTCCCTTCCAAGAACACTCTTTGAACAGCTAAAACTATTTCTTAGTCAGATGTCTTTTTTTCTCCCTCCCCCTCCTTCTTTCCTTTTGTCTTTCTCTGCGCTGGGGACTGAGCCCAGAACCTTCAACATGCTAGGTAAATACTCTACCATTGAGATACACCCCCCCCCAAGCTCTGGGCCTCAAACTCTCAAGCATTCTGAGCTCTGAGGTGTGCCTCACCATGCCTGGCTAATTTCTTTTGTTTTTGAAGAACAGTGCTGAGCCCCCAGAAGACACAAAGCAGTGTCCCGTTGACCAAATGAATATATATAGTATGGCACGAAGTACTTGGACTGAGCCAGACATCATAGTAGTACATTCCTATCCCAGGATTTAGAAGCTGAGGCAGGATGATCTCAAGTTTGATACCAGCCTGGGATTCATAGCAGGTCGAGTTATATAATAGCTCTATTTGTCCTGGAACTTACTCTGTAGACCAGGCTGGCCTTGAACTCACATGCATCTACCTACTTCTTCCTCAGTGGCTGGGACTAAAGGTGTGCATCACAATGCCCAGCTATAACAAGACATATTCTTTTTTTGTTTTCTTTGTATTTGTTCTTCAAGACAGGGTTTCTCTGTATTGCTTTGGAGCCTGTCCTGGAACTTGGCTCTGTAGAACAGGCTGTCCTCAACTCACAGAGATCTGCCTGCCTCTGCCTCCCAAGTGTCAGGATTAAAGGCGTGTGTCACCAACGCAAGACATATTCTAAAAACAAAAGTCTGACTGATACCCATTCGGTTTTGTGGAACATTACATTAAATCCATATCCAAACCAGTTTTCTCTCCATTCTGCTCTGACTTCATCCTTTTTCATGCACTGTAGGAGAACAAGATAGCTGGCTACAGAGGGCATGTTTTATGGAACGCCTCTCTTGCTATCTCTCTAATGAGGGAGAGAGGACAAAGTTGACTCCATTTCTAGTACCAGGCCCTAAGACACTGGCAGCTTCTGTCTCCCATCTCTTTCACTGTTCTCTCTTGGAAGATTGCTGTTCTACGTCCTTCACTTGAGATTGCCACGTTTCATGTAATCCCAACTAAGCCCAACCTACCAGCAATCCTCACCATTAGCTAACATCCTCTAGGACCTTGCAAACCACCTACCAGTTGCCTACCACTAAGCGACCTCAATGACAACAGAACAAGGGCCCAACCTCAGCCCTTTCTAAATTCTTGACCTACAAATCTGCTATTAAATTAAATGATTATTTCAAGTCCATGAGTTTGGGGAATAATTTGTTACAAAGTAATAGCTAATTGGAACGTGTTCTTTCTTACTTTCACCTTTTAAGCACTATCAGGGGAAGTCAAGGCAGCCACACCAAAGAGCATGTCCTCAAACTCCAAAGTTTAGTTCTTGAACCCCTAAGTGTAGCCCTGAAGATAGCTCAGGAAGAGAGAGCTGGGAGAAGACAATGTGAACATGAGGCTTTAACCTCATCCTGAAAGCAAACAGCCACCCAAGGCCACAGGGCCTGCGACAGGCACCATGGAAGACCATACCTGCCTCATGAGCTCCTCTTGACGCATCCTGATCCTCTCTCTCTCCATCTGGATCCTCTGAAGTCGCAGTTTCTGTTGCTGCTGCTGCTGTGTGGTCAGTGCATTGGGCACACTCATGAGCCCCGTGGGTGGGTTCGGAGTTGGGTGGCTCTGTGCACTCAGGTTACTAGGCACAACTTGTTGCTGGTGCTGGTGCTGGTGCTGGTGATTCATTACTGAGGAAGGGAAAAACACAGATCAATAACCAGGACCTATGCCTGGCCCCAGAATGCTTTGTGCTTTGGAGTGTAGATTCTGAATTTCTTTAGATACCTTACTCTAAATCATTACTATTTTAAAATTATGGCCTTAATTCTATTCATGAAGGTACAAGTAACCCCACACCTAATAGTCTTCCTATGCCTAGAATACATTTATTACACTTATTTATGGGGGGGGAACACATGAGTGCACACACACCACAACATACACGTGTAGGCCATAGTTGGCTCTCTATATCACCTGGATCCCAGAGTTGTACTCAGGTTGTTAGACTTATAGCAAATGCCTTTACCCATTGAGCCATCTCTCAGCAGACCCATTCTTGGATATGTATTTAATGTTAACATAGCGCAATGGTAAAAATAAGTCCCACAGAGTCTGTCATAACTTAAGAAAGATTTTTCAGGGCTAGAGAGATGGCTCCGTGACTAAGAGCAATTGGGTGGTCTTCCAGAGGACCAGGGTTCAATTACCAGTAACAACATGGCAGCTCACAACTGTCTGTAACTTCAGTTCCTAAGGATCTGACACTAATGCACATAAAATAAAGTTAAATAGATTATTTTAAAACAAGAAAAGAAAAGAACACCTGGGAGTGTGTGAATTTTTTTCAGACACCCTGAATATCTGTAGCAGCATCACAGAAAGTATACAACCAATTCTCAGTATCCAGTGGGTACACAAGACCACTCAGGATGAATAAATAAATCAAGAGCAATAAGTGAAAAACAGACTGCAATCACAAAAGGGCCCAGTAACACTTCGTTAAAAAGGAGTAACTCCTGGGTCTGGAAGCATTGCTCTGCCATGAAGGAAGCCTTGGGTTCCATCCTCAGCACCCTGTAACCCTAGAGTGGTGGTGCATTCCTAGAGTCCTAGCAGCACTCAAGAGATGACATAGGAGAGTCAGAAATGCAAGCTAACCATTGGCAATATAGGAAGTCCAGGACTTGTTTAGGCTACATGAGATCCTGTCTAAAAATATCAGAAAAAGGAGGGCTGGAAAGATGACTCTGTGGATAAGAGCCCTGGCTGCCATTCTGGAGGACCTGGGTTCGAGTCCCAGTACACATATAGCAGCTCAAAACCACCTCCAGTTCCAGGAGATCCAATGCTCTCTTCTGACCTCTGCAGGCACCAGGCATGAATGTGGTATACAGACACACATGCCAGTAAACACCCTATACTTGTTTGTTTGTTTGTTTTTGAGACAGGGCTGTGCTGGAACTTAGTATGTAGACTACACTGCCCTGGAACTCACAAAGATTTAACTGATTCTGCCTCCAAATACTGAGATATTTTAATGAAAGCCCCAAAGTTAAAGATTTTTATTGATTGTTGTCCTGGGGATGAAATGTCGCTTATAAAGAATGTGCTGTTCCACTATACCCAGATGCCCAAATGTTGAATATTTTAATCTTCAGTTTGCTGTGGGTGTCATGTAGAAGCATGTCACCCAACTGAAGCCCTTGGGGGCATGACAAAGTCACCTAGTCTCTCTGTATGAAGTACGTATAGAATACAGGAGACAGCACCTTTCAATTCATAAGCTTTGATTCGAGGAACTAATGGAACTAAATGGCACTTCTTACACCCTTTGTTTGAGAACAGAAAACAAAACAAAACAAAAAACCCACAGTCCTTACAAATGGCAGAATAGTTGAAATGTGTATTTTGCTTCCAGAACTTGGTGCAGCCAGCCTTTGTTGAAGGCAGTAGAAAGAAGGATTTTGCACATATGTTGTCACAGGGAAAAAGTTCCATCAGATTCACCCAAGACAAAGCTCCAGACATCCAGAAGAGCTTAATTCATAAAATCTATTTCAAGTCAAAGGAAGGAATTGTTAAATATTATCCCCCAGAGACAGACATTCCTAAACCCTCTTGATAGGGGCATTTCTGCTTTTCTGACATATCTACTGTAGGCAAGAAAAAGACACAGAATATTCCAAATATCAGAAACTTTTAGATTGGGGGTGGGGTGGGGTTAAAAAAAAAAATCACAGGCTGTTAACACTATTAGTTTTTTTTTTTTTTTTTTTCTAAATATAAATTGTCCAAACGTGGTTATTTGTGGGTTTGTGTATCTTCAGGTGCCCAAGGCAGCCACGAAGAACCATCTGATATGGGTGTTGAGATCTGAACCCTGGTCCTCCGAAAGAACAAAATGCACTCTTGACTACCGAGCCACCAACCACCTCAGGCTAAAATCTCCAATTTTTAAAAACCTGGCTTAGATTTAACAGTTACTAACAAGATTGGTGTGGAACTGTGTTCACTTCAACAACTTAGCTAAATCATCCTTAATAGTGAACAAAATACTGCCCTGGTTTCACTAACAAACAAACAGTGTGCTCTGTTACTCAAATCTATACTACAACCAAATGCTCTCTGTAGCCTTATTAATGTCTGGGTTTTTTTTTTAAATCTGGGGATTTAAGACTCGGAGCTGACTCTTGCCAAACCACACCCTTGCTGGTCTTCAGAGGGTGTGCTCATACAGGTGTTCACTCTTCCAGGAAATGTCCATGGAAGCGAAGGTAGCTGCTGTTTCTTCCACTAAATTTAGATTTAATCGTTTAGACTAAACATCCCTGGTTATTAACTGTAGAGTCTGGAAAAGATGGACCTTCGACAATGGTTTTGTTTTCAAAACAAAACATAGTCAAGCATATAGCACACTCACCACAGCATGTGAGGGTGTTTAAAATTACTACTTACATTAGTAAAAGACTAAACAGGATTTTACTGTCTATCAGTTCCTCATAGTAACCCCAGAGAATAGGATAATCTCATGGGCTATAGGAGCAAAACCACAAGGGAAAGACCATATCTGAGTAAGGGACTATTCATGGAAAGGAGGGATTATGCATACATAACCGTTGTTCTAGAATAGGTGACAGTGGTACCTCTGGGGAGGAGTCTGGGTGTCAAAGATGGGACACCCTCTTCCCACTCTACATCATTTAAGCTCTCCCCACATGCACATACTACTTATGTGAAACACAGGTGACTATTTTTAAATTAAAAATTCAAATAACAGGGGCTAGAGAGATGGCTTAGCAGTTAAAGGCAATTGGTGTTCTGGCAGAGGTAGGTTTCCAAGCACACACAGTACACTGGGACTCAGTGCTCTCTTCTGGCCTCTGTGGGTACCGGACATGCATATATGCAGGCAAAATATTCAAATACATAAAATAAATCTTTCTTCGAAAGTGAAGAAAACAACACTACAATTATTTGAAACAAAACAAATAAGGCTGAGAAAATAAGATCATCGGAACTAAGTCTACTCTTGCAATTACTCCTTACAGAAATGGGGAAAACAAAACCAACAGAAAGCGATCTAGAAGCCAGGAGTCTTGACTTAATCCAGTCATCCACTGCTCAACTCTGCTTCTTCTAATTGATCTATTTCCAAGAGCTACTGAGTCGCATCAAGGCTGGAGCTAATGACTTTCAAGGCAGGCTGAGCCTCTTTAAAGTCACCACCTTTGGGGGCTGGGGGAAGACAAGACGGCTACAGCAAAAAGAAGGTCACCAGGAAAACACAGTCAAAACACTGACTTTGCGATGAACAAAGTATTCCTTGGGATGATATTCCAGAACATTTCTGAGAGGAAATGATGATCCCATTTTTTGCAAGTGTACCCCAGTGCAGTATGAGACCAAACTACCATGAACTGATTCAGAAAGACTGAAGACTGTGGATCCAAGGCCTTCGCCACCCCCAAAGAAAGAAATAATCTAAGCACATAATTTCTCTACTGACAGAAAAACTCATCTAGTCCAAGTTGAGATATCTCTGTGTGTGTGTGTGTGTGTGTGTGTGTGTGTGTGTGTGTGTGTGTGTGTGTGTGTGTTCCCCCAATCTTTTTCATCTTTTGTTCTATTCTGTGGGAAGTAAATTGGTTTTCTTCTCTGTGATTGGAAATTAATAAAAATGGTGCTTCTAATTGGTGCTACTCAATATAAAAGAAAACACCAAGACAGACAAACTCTATAGCCAGCATGTAACATGTGATGCAATGGCCAGTGTCCTTGATGAAGCATTGGAGATTAGGGTTATTGAGGGTGGACCTGGCCTTCTGACCAGTGTTGCCCCGGGATGATACACAGTGACAATCTATTACCCTGTCTAGCAAACACCTTTGATCATTTGCACAAAACCTTAAGAGTAAAATGAGCTCAAAGTGGAGGGTGCTCCTGAATTCAATCCTATCTTCTGGGGAAAAGTCTTTAGTCTTGAATCACTGCTTTCTGCAGTAGTACCAGGAAACAGACAGCAGAGTGACAGTGCATAGGGAAGTATACTGGCTGATGAACAAGAGACAGGGGAGCTGTGAATCAAAGGCTACGAGGCACATCACTCAGAATGTTTCACAAATGTGGCCTTGGAGACATCCGATGGCTTGTTCTTCTGTGTTCTAGGCTTGCTTCCCCATGCTCTACACACACAAAAGGCCAACCCATAAGGCAAACAAAACGGTTAAAGTTGAATAACAAAAAACAAAAATCCTCCTAGGCAGACATGGTAGACTGTGCAAAGGAAAACCAGTATTCCAGTGGCCAGAAGCTACATGTAAGCCAAAGAAAGATACAGACATGACTTTACACCCTTCAAATTCTTCTCTACAAGTCAAACATGATGGGGGGGGGGGGGCAGGGCGGAAATATCCATGGCTATCAATGTTTCTCTGTCAAGTTCTTCTCAGCTGCTTCCCTGCTGACACCTGGAGTCTTGAAACTGAATTTTTCACAACATCTCAGCAGCAGTTTTACTTGAGTGGGTGAGGGCTTCCTAAACTCTGAGGCTTCCAGTCTATGGCACCTGTTTCCTTTTGTCCCATCCCCACCCCCAGGCTATCAGCCATGCAGACTCTCATACTGGAAGTCACTGAGCTCCTGAGTTCAATAGAAACACAGTAGCCAGCAGTGCAGTGGTGGTGCATGCCTTTAGGCCCATCACTCAGGAGGCAGAAGCAGGCAGATCTCTATGAGTTTAAGGCCAGCCTGCTCTACAGAGCCAAGTTCCAGGGTAGACTCCAAAGCCACAGAGAAACCCTGAGGAAGGAAGGAAGGAAGGAAGGAAGGAAGGAAGGAAGGAAGGAAGGAAGGAAGGAAGGAAGGAAGGAAGGAAGGAAGGACCTATGGTACCTACACTGATATACATGTATAGCTGGATGAACAAAGGGGAAAAGAAATGAATCTCTGGGAGTCCAAAACAAGAACAAGGAGGCTGTGTAAGGATGGAAAAATTTAGCCTAATTCTCCCTAGACTCTGCCCCCTAGCAGTGAGTAGGCAAAAGGTCATTCTTGACTATTTACGACAGGGTGGGTTACTGACAGCACCTGTGAGTGAATGAGAACAGGAAATGACCCATGCCACACTACCCAAAAGCCCTAGCGAAAGCAGACTTCCTGGGCAAAGCACGGGCTTGGATAGTTCAAATTGATTGGTCCGCACTGGATGCTTTGAGATGATTGGTTTGTGATGCACGGGCTTTGTTGTAACCCTATAAAAGCTGTCTGAACCCTGTACCAATGGTTCCCAGTCCTTTACCCCACATGGAGTATGGCTGCGGACCCCAGTGCACTGGAATATAAAGGACCTCATGCTTTTGCATCAAGACCGCTTCTCGTGAGTGATTTGGGGGGGGGGGGCCGCCTTTCCAGAGTCAGGGCATGAGGGTCCATGCCCTCCATGGGTCTTTCAGCTGTACTGTACAAAAACCTGAAAAACATGTCCTAGGCCAGGTGGCCAAGGTCAGCGCTAAAAGTGACAATATGTAATAATGGCATATAACTTGACATGATGAGAATACTGCTTGTTGGCTTTATTATTATTTTAATCTCGTGGTCTTCTTTCCCAAAACCATTATGCAAGTCTAACAGCAGGAGGGAATCAATTTCTAACAAAGGGGAAATATATAAACACCTAAGAATACTCCTCAAAATGATCAAGGTCATGTAAAAGGAGAGCCTAGGAAGTGGTCACAGACAAGTGACATGATAGATGCAGGCACTGTCTTGTGCTGTAAGAGATGTGGGACAGAAAAAGACATCACATAAAGGCTAATAAAATTCAAATTAAGTATGTAAGGTTTTTATTTTTTTATCCGTATTTACTTATTTCTTTGACCTTTTTCTGACAGGATCTAACCATGTATCCCTGGCTCTCCCAGAACTTGGTATATAAACCAGGGTATATAATCCTCCAACTTTGGCCTCCCAAGTACATGAGTTACCACACCAGGCTTAAAAATGTGGATTTTAATTAGCAATAATGAGCCAATACTGCTTCATTAGTTTTCACAAATACAGCACACAGATGTGAGATTTAACAGCAGATAAAACTGGATGTGGAGGTACAGAGGAATTCTAGTCAAATTTTTTTTTATAAAAGTACAGTTTCTAATTAGGGAGTGTAAATAATAATAGCAAGACAGACAGACAGACAGATGAAGAGGGACCCATAGTCCATGAAAGTAAATAGATACAAAGGAGTACCTAAGTGTGTTATGTTGTCAGTTGTGGAATGTTAAACTAGAAGAATGTATTTTACTACTGGATGTCTCAGTCTTGAATATACTCAAGAGTCCCCTTTCCCTTTCTGAGAGGGATATAAAGGTACAAACATATCTACCTTGCAGGATTCTCTCTCCTAAATAGGACAAAACTAAGAAATGCTGGCCAATTACAACTTAGTAAACATCTTGGCAAAGTGCTGAATTATGAAGAAAATTAAACATGAATCCAAATTAAGCTCCTACTACATGCTTAGCTCTTGGAAGTTTAGCAAGTTGCTTCTACCTCAAGGCCAGAGAAGGGAAGCAGCAGCCAATGATCTTGAACAAATAAATTCATGTGTCTATCAGCTGTTGTGCAAGATACAAAGTCACAGAACAAACAAACAAAAAACACACAAGTCTTGGTTGGGGGTGGACTGAGGCAGGATAATGACCTAAGCCAAGGTATAGTTTGAGACCATCTAGAATACCACAGGACTGTCTGAAAGAAAAGAAATAATATAACAGGCCAGGGGTTATAAAATATAAAAGTCTATCCAAAGTCTCCACAGACAAATGTACCCTGCTCTCTAATTTGGACAGCATATTGACAGCACTTTCTTAGCTGGGCATTGGTGGCAAATACCTTTAGTCCCAGCACTCGGGAGGCAGAGGCAGGCAGATCTCTATGAGTTCAAGGCCAGCCTGGTCTAGTTCCAGGACAGGCTCCAAAGCAATATAGAGAACCCCCTGTTTAAAAAAAAAAAAAAAAAAAAAAAACCTTGGGGGTGGGCACTTTCTTGGCCAGTGACTAACTTTTGCCACAACTCCATGTGGAGTTTCTTCCATGCCCATCATCTTCTCTGACATGCTCACTGTCATTATTAAAAAAGAAGAAGGGGGGGGGGAAGAACCTATGTTATTAAAACATCTTAAATGCCATATTCTGTAGATCTCTGAAGTGTTTGAAGATGACCTATCTAAAGTACAACTGTTTGACTTTGAAAACATATCTAATATGATTACAAGTTCAATTGTAATAAGTGACTAATTGCTAACTTGCATTTCCTTATTATCCTAAATACTTGTAATAATAACTTTCAAGGGCTAAATATTTGCATTATACTGTTAAATGAGCTGCATGGGTACAATACTTTGAACAAGACTAGAAATGTTTGTACAGTACATTCTGACAAAAACAACCTAAAATTTGTATCAATATACAAAAATATCCAAGTCAATGTAAAATTATTTAAAAACTAGTAGTTGCTCTTTTTTTTTGTTGTTGCTTGTTTTGTTTTGTTTAAAATCTACTTTTTTATCCTATTTCTATATCCCACCTTTTTCTTTTCAGGGTAGATTCAATAATCTACCCTTTTATTCTATCATATCTATATACCCCTTTTTTCTTTACAAAACAAGACTCTGAATCTAATCTCCTTTGCTTAGCTCTTTTTACTGACCATTACCAATACAACTCGTAACCAACCCACCTAAACAGTAAGTATAGAATCATAGGCCATCTGGGTTGAAACCTTTACCAACAATTCCATTCTTTCTTCTCTCCACAAACATTGAAACTGAGGTATGACCAGTCATCCTAGCTTTCCTAAAAGTGAGGTGTTTCCTGGGACACAGGGCTAATCCAGGCAGTGTCTACCAAATGTAATGGCTTGTGATGGATGCTAGGTCTGTGACTCTCAGCAGCCATAGAGCTACCTCGTCATGACAGAATTCTTATTAAACCAGTGGTCATAACTGGTATTTAAGACTAAGGCCAGCGGTTCAGGATGGGAATCAGGGTGCCTGCCCCACAACACCCACTCTTGGTGGAGGGCATATATTTTATTTACTTTGTGTAATGGGACTTTTAGTCCATTTAGACCTGTGCTCCTCAAACTTTCTTTAGTAGAAGGTTCTTTCCCAGGAGCCCCCATCTAGCTTGAAGCCAGGGTACCTAGTGTCAAGGGATTAATCAGCAGTTTGCCCAAAGCCTGGGCAGCGAGGTAGTGGAGCTGGGCTCTCCAAATTCTCTTGGGGTCACTTTCACACTACAGGCATTTTCAAACTATCGTGTTAAAATTTTACTCTTAGCATTTAGAGACTATATACTACTTTAGCTACTGCACATATCCCTTAGGGTTCTAGCATAGGCCCTTGCTCACACTTTAAAATGGATGACGTTCACCAATTCACTGATTTTAGAGCTGAAGAAACTTGGAAGGTTAAATGACTCAGCACAAATCAAACGCATACAGACTCTAACAAACTCCGGAACCCTGGAAGTGCAGGGTCACCAGACGCTGCATAGGTATTAGCTAAGGACCCTCTTACCCCTGCCCTGCCCAAACCTGAAAGTCAGAATTAACTGGTAAGCTAACCTGAAAAGGATAGATGGTTTTCTCTGTCCTATATCATGAAGGAGTCTCTCAAAGACCCGTTAAAAAGATGAGAACAACCTGGATGACATGTTGATGATGCCCTGTTTGTGTGATCTTAATTTTACACATGCAAAAGTTACCACTCTAGAATAATAATCCCCCCCCCCAAAAAAAAAGGTAGCTTTGAAAGATTATACTTCATGATCCACATCAGGGCTGTAATACCAGACCTTCTGGTCATGTAATGGTACAGTTACAAGATGTCATGCCAAAACACACAGGTGTAAATCATTTCTGACTTACATACAGACCCAGTACACCAAGTCTGCAAAATATTCCAACAGGAAGAGTGTCTGAGTGCAGCTGTTTATATGCTATGCATGGTTTAACTCATGAACTGGCCAACCCCAGGTGTCACGCAGACCTGTCTGATGGGAAACACATGTCCTCGGAGAAGGAAAGAAAACCCAGCCACACCACAGGGCAGCCTTGACTCAGTCATGACACAGTGACTGCAGACACATCTCTTGCCTTCCTTGTATCTCTCTGCTTTTGCCAACAAAGAGCCACTTGTTTCTTATTTCCCAGAAACAGTATGAATCACCCAACAAGGTCAGATAAATAAACAAACAACAAACAAATGAAGCAGCTTCTCACTTCCAGAAGCATTTTGGTTCCAAAACTTCTTTACAGAAGTTATACACAGTGAAGCCTTTATTCTAATTCTGGGTTAAGAATGCTATAAAGAAAATTCTCTGCTGGCTCAGTTGATAAGGACAGAGCTCAAGGACAGTGTACACATGGCTAAACTTGATTATCTGTTTCAAGACTTCAAACCATTTGCAGGTGCTCCAAAGGCTAAGATGTGCTTGCAACTCTCCAAAGGTTCCAGGCCCTTTTATAGTAAGAAGGCTGCAACCCAACTTGCATTTACTTCTCAGGCAACCTTGAAATCTTAGTATCAAGAAATTATTTTCGTGCTCGCTTCAGCAGCACAAATACCAAAGTTGGAATGATAGAGAAGATTAGAATGGCCCCTGCACAAGGATGACATTCAAATTCATTAATCATCCCATACTTTTAGGGGCCTCTGGCAGTAGGACCATGATACAAACCTGGTACATGAGCTAGCTTGTTGGAGCCCACTCCCTATGGTGGGATGCCATGTTCACCTTTAATGCATGGGAGAAGGGCTTGGACCTGCCCTATTGTCAGACTTTTTTGACTCCCCATGGGAGCCCTTACCTGTGAGGAGGAGTGGACTGGGAGTTGGCTAGGGGGAAGGGAGGGCAGGAGGAGGGGTGGGAGAGAGAACTGTGGTTGGAATGTAACACGAGATTTAAAAGAACAAATAAATTTAAAAAGAGAAATTATTTTCCTGCTTGTAATCCTGCCTGCCCACTTAAACAGTAACCTTATCCATAGACCAGTGCACAAGTAACTGGGCACATCCACTCTGCTTAGGACGAAGACAAATGCCTGTGCTACTGACTTGTATGTTCTCTCATGAGCACACTCTCTGGATGCACAGTTTATTAACCTAACGGGCTCTCATCATTAGAACATATCCAGAAAAAATGTGGGTGTGGTGTGTGTGTGGAAGAAGGTAACCCTCACATTTTCCTGTCATGTTCCTTTGCTCTTGCCCTTCTCCTCACCCCCCCCCCGTGTGTGTGTGTGTGTGTGTGTGTGTGTGTGTGTGTGTGTGTGTGTGTGTGTGTGTGGTGTGTGTGTGTGTGTGTGTTTACATAAAGTTGTATTAGAATGTGTAATCCCATCTAATGGCTGGAATGTCTCAAGTGTTTTCCAAAGTGATGTGTATCAGGAAGATAGCTACAGAGACACTGCATTGAGCCAACAATGTCTAGCTGGGAACAGTAGAAACTCAAGAGTTTTACTGTACCCTTCCACACAGCCTTCCTTCTGATTTTAAATGTGTTCCAGTGGCTGGGCACTCTCAGAGGAAACAACATCGCTTTACTATCTTCAGATAGTAACCATACTTTTATCCCGACATGGAAACTCTGATTCATGTCTTTCTTTTCATTAACTGAGAAAGGTTATGGTCACTTTGTACTAGTCAGCTTTGCCTGATGAGTTTTAAAACGACTCCAGGTGCAAATCATTGCAGGCCAAGCCGAAGAGCAGAAAACAGGCACCCACAAGGGGTGGAGAAAATGCTGCCCGTGGGCTAGTGTTAATCTGCTTTTCTGGATATTATACCATGTTGGTAAATATCCTTATTATGTGAAAAGGCCACACAATAGACACTAAGACTGCATGAGGTGGTCCAAGCATCGGGACAGTTTATGAAAGAGAACTTTCAGGTTAATAATCAAACATTGGAAATTACTGGCTCTGCAAGAAATCACAAAAATTCCGATGAGGCAGTAACAAAGACAGCAATGGGACATTAGCCCATAGGCAATGGGCCTTTCAGTTTAGATCTGCTGTGGGTCGGTGGGAGTTGGAAGGTAGGGGGCACAGGATTAGCCAAGGTATCAACCAAGGGTATCAAGATAGAGAAAGCTGGTCAAATTGTGGCTTTGCACATGTGTGCATTTAACATATGATTGTACCTAACTCTTAACAGGATGTCCAGTAAATGTTAATTGCCTTGGAAATAAAAAGAATCAATGTGAATAGTGGTGACTTGGGAATGTTAAACTACACCGATCATCATTTCCAGTACTCTATGGTTTGGTTTTTTGTTTTGTTTTGTTTTACTTGTTTTTGTTGTTGTTTGTTTTTCAAAACAGGGTTTCTCTGTGGTTTTGGAGGCTGTCCTGCAACTAGCTCTTGTAGACCAGACTGGTCTCGAATTCAGAGATCCGCCTGATTGTGCTTCCCGAGTGCTGGGATTAAAGGCATGCACCACCACCGCCCAGCTTTGGTTTGTTTGTTTGTTTGTTATTCAGTGATGAAAAAGACAGCTGGATCCCTTCCCTTCAGGAGACTATAGTGTAGAGAGTAGGCATACAACAGCAAGTAAGTGGTGTCTGTCCCCCCTATGGGGGGACCATAGCCTAGGAGGGGGGTGTAAAAGGTCAAAGAGACACTAGCAAACAGTGTGTTCCTAACATGAGTGGATGTTGCATTCCTGAGTTCCCACCCTAACTTTAAAGCTACAGGTAGTTGATGGCTTCTGGGGAAGGGAAAGTCCCTTTCTTTTAAGGGTGTGACTCCTGGCATGTTGACGTTCCACTGGATGTCCCCACGCAGGACACGCAGATGGGTTATTACATTAAAACAAAAAGATACAAAATTGAGGGAGGATAAGGAGATATATAGAGGTGGATCTGGGAGGAGTTCAAGGAAGGTAAAGGGGAATATGATCAAAATACGAAAGAAGTTCTCAAAGATTTAATAAAGATACCTTTAAGGTGAGAATGTTCCAAGCCTATGACCTCAGGGTTCATGTGCAAAAAAGTATACAGTCCATGTGTCCCAAGACAGAGGGCAAGGGGCAGTGGACAGGTTCTTTGTGTCCCAGAGCCTATGGAAGGTACCATGCTAGCCTCAATTCCAGAGGCATAGGAATCTCCTTCAGGCATCATGCTTGAACCACACAGGACACAGGAAACTGCCGAGTGATTCACCTAATACAACCAAATATAAAATTCTGGGGAGAAAAAAACCCAGACACAAAAATTAAGGAATCTACTGTGAACTTGCATGAAGGTCAAAGGCCTCTGAATTTAATTAATGTCTCTCATCTGCCTCTCTCAGCCCTGTGAGGAGGTTCAGGATCACAGCAGGAAAAGCATTCTGTCAGGAATGGGAGGGACAAAGCAGCTTTGCTCTTAACACACAGCAATGTCTGGCCCCAAGGAAAACCAAACAAATGCCCGGAGCTCCTCCTTTTACTGGGAAGGGCATGCCAAAAAGGGTTGTGTTCTTGACATAACCACACAAAATGCTCAACAGAAGAGCTGTGGCTCTCAATTCTCTTAAGTTTCATTCATTAATTAAACTCCTGTCATGGCTGCCTTCGGAAGCTCTGAGATCAGCCCCTGCCCTCCCGGCCAGGCTGGAAGGTTATAAGAAACCTCATGAGAACTTTCACTGTCCCCTGCTTGTTGAAGATACCCTAGACAGTTGAAGAATCACTCTTAGTGCTTTATACCCAGAAAAAAAGCATATTTCTCCTCAAAACCATATGGGCCTATCCCTGGGGAATGACCTAACCCTGTAAGGAGACCCATCAGAGCCCAGAAACTTTGAGGTCCACTCTCTCGCCACATAGAGCATTTTGGTATTCATTTTTCCCTTTAGCTTTATTGATTTGGTATACTATCCAATTTTTGACCATACTTTCCTTTTAGTCCAATTTAATTTATTCTTTTATAAAGGAGGAAAAAATAAATGTATGAAGTATCAGACTTTCTTTTTCTTTTTTTCTTTTTTTTTTTTTTCAAAGAAGAATTAGTGTTTTGACCCCGTTGGCTCATATATTTGTATGCTTAGTCATCAGAGAGTGGAACTATCTAAAAGAATTAGAAGGATTAGGTGAAGTGGCTTTGTTGGAGGAAGTGTGTCACTGGGGGTGGGTTTTGGGATTTCGAAAGCCCATGTCAGGTCCAGTCTCTCTCTGCCTGCCTACTTCAGACTAAAAGGTAAAGTTCCCAGCGACTTCTCCAGTACCAAGCTTGCCAATCTTCCTGCCATGATAATGAACTAACCTCTGAAATAGAAAGCAAGCTCTGGCTAAATGCTTTCTTTTCTAAGAGCTGCCTTGGTCATGGTGTCTCTTCACAGCAATAAATAGTGACTAAGACAATTAGCATGGTTTAATTAAGAAATGAGTATCTTAAAATCTGCACAGGAAGTCATTATAATTAAAAGACCACATCAAAAAATATGCATACACCATTTCTCAAGTACCCTGAAGAATGAAGTAGGCATACTGGCTAAATGAACTAATGAAACATGGCCAAAGCTCCCATGCTATGAGAAATGAAAATAAGTAGCACAGAAATATCCAAAGTAATGTTTCCAGAACAAATTAAAACATGCATGCAGAAGCACTCAAAGATAGTAACTAAAGTCCTTAAGCTACATGTAAAAATAGGGCAGGGAAATAAGCAAAGTCAGGTGATAACTCTGAATTCAATAAAAGCCTAGACTAGGCTAAAATTAAATGATGTAGATAGAAACACAAACATAATATGTGTCAGGTAAATAATACACTGGAAATTATCATTTGATGATCATACATCTCAGGGGAATCTCCACATCCTTGAGTACACCTCATTGACTGAAGACAGGAATGGTATCACACATCTTTAATCCCAGCACTTGGGAGGCAGAAGTAGTCAGAGCTCTGTGAGTTTGAGGCCAGCCTGGTCTACAGAGCTAGTTCCACGACAGCCAGGACTGTTACATAGAGAAACCCTGTCTCAAAAAAAGCTAAAGAAAAAAGCAAACAAACAAAAGAAAGAAAGAAAACAAACACACAAATTTTTTTCCTCGTTCTCTGTACTGAATATTAAAGCAGCCAGTGACCCAGCAACTCTGCCTCCACCTTCAGTTTTCAACCAAAATGATCCCCAGTCCTGTGGTATAAACACTGTGTGCTTCTAGAGATGATACGATAAGAACAAATCGTTTATGTTGTAGTCCTTCGAAACAAGTATAACCAAAATCTAAGTCACAGGAGGTGGAGTCTACCAAATAATTGGCCTATACAGTCTTAAAATTAAAACAAAAGTTGAGGTCCAAAAAAAACTGGAATTGGGGAATTGCCCCAGGTTAAAAGAATTTAAGGACAAGCTAGTGATACAGGTCAATGGTAAAGCATTTGTGTAGAATGACTGAGGCCCTGGGTTTGAACCCCAGCACCACAGAAAGAAAAGGAAAAAGGGGGGGGGGGCGCTCAACTAAATGCAACACATGTTCCTAATAGAAAATAAAACTCATATGGACTGCATCTTAGAAACAGAACTATATCAGTGTTAAATTTCCCTGATTCTAACACCTGTTCTGTGCTTAGAAAACAATCTAAAGTGTGACCAAATAAGGAAAAGGGCTAGGTGTCATAAAGTGATAGAAAAACTATAGAAGAATGTCCAAGGCCCTAGGT